AGAGAGGTGTGTGAAGAACTCAACAAGAGGTTCCCGGAGGTCTTCACAATAGAACAAGGTGAGGTCACTGTGCTAGGAGAAAGGGAGGTAAACCAGGCGGCCTTGGAAGAGTTCGAAATTACGAGAGAGGAGGTCAAGAGACACCTGCTGGATCTGGATGTTAGAAAGGCTGTTGGTCCAGATGGGATCTCACCATGGATACTGAAAGAGTGTGCAAAGGCACTTTGCTTGCCACTCTCCATAGTGTATAGTAAGTCACTGGAGACGGGAGACCTACCAGAAATATGGAAGATGGCGAATGTGGTCCCAATATACAAAAAGGGCGACAGGCAAGAGATACTGAACTACAGGCCAGTGTCCTTGACTTGTATACCATGCAAGGTGATGGAGAAGATCGTGAGAAAAAACCTGGTAACACATCTGGAGAGAAGGGACTTCGTGACAAATCGCCAACATAGGTTCAGGGAGGGTAAATCTTGCCTAACAGGCTTGATAGAATTCTACGATCAGGTGACAAAGATTAAGCAAGAAAGAGAGGGCTAGGCGGACTGCATTTTCTTGGATTGTCAGAAAGCCTTTGACTCAGTACCGCATAAGAGGCTGGTACATAAGCTGGTACATAAAATAAATGGTACAGGCAGGTGTAGCTGGTAAGGTGCTCCAGTGGATAAGGGAGTACCTAAGCAATAGGAAGCAGAGAGTTACGGTGAGGGGTGAGACCTCCGATTGGCGTGAAGTCACCAGTGGAGTCCCACAGGGCTCTGTACTTGGTCCTATCTTGTTTCTGATATATGTAAATGATCTCCCGGAGGGTATCGATTCATTTCTCTCAATGGTTGCTGACGATGCTAAAATTATGAGAAATATTAAAACAGAAGAGGACTGTTTGAGGCTTCAAGAAGACCTAGACAAGCTGAAGGAATGGTCGAACAAATGGTTGTTAGAATTTAACCCAACCAAATGTAATGAAGACAGGTGTAGGGAGCAGGAGGCCAGATACAAGGTATCATCTGTTAGAGGAAATTCTTCAGGAGTCAGAGAAAGAAAAAGACTTGGGGGTTGATATCACGCCAGACCTGTCTCCTGCAGCACATATCAAGAGGATAACATCAGCGGCATATGCCAGGCTGGCCAACATACGAACGGCATTCAGAAACTTGTCTAAAGAATCATTCAGAACTTTGTATACCATATATGTCAGGCCAATTCTGGAGTATGCAGCCCCAGCATGGAGTCCATATCTAGTCAAGGATAAGACTAAACTGGAAAAGGTTCAAAGGTTTGCTACCAGACTAGTACCCGAGCTGAGAGGTATGAGCTATGAGGAGAGACTACGGGAATTAAACCTCACTTCGCTGGAAGATAGAAGAGTTAGCAGGGACATGATCACCACATTCAAGATTCTCAAGGGAATTAATAGGGTAGATAAAGATAGGCTATTTAACACTAGGGGCACACGCACAAGGAGACACAGGTGGAAACTGAGTGCCCAAATGAGCCACAGAGATATTAGAAAGAACTTTTTTAGTGTCAGAGTGGGTGACAAATGGAATGCATTAGGAAGTGATGTGGTGGAGGCTGACTCCATACACAGTTTCAAGTGTAGATATGATAGAGACCAATAGGCTCAGGAACCTGTACACCTGTTGATTGACGGTTGAGAGGCGGGACCAAAGAGCCAGAGCTCAACCCCCGCAAACACAAGTAGGTGAGTACACACACACACACACAGGGGCTTATTGTAGAGGCCTCGTAGCCTGGTGGATAGCGTGCAGGACTCGTAATTCTGTGTCGCGGGTTCGATTCCCGAACCAGGCAGAAACAAACGGGCAAAGTTTCTTTCACCCTGAATGACCCTGTTACCTAGCAGTAAATAGGTACGTTGGAGTTAGTTAGCTGTCACGAGCTGCTTCCTGGGGTGTGTGAATGTGTGTGGTGTGGAGAAAAAAAAAGTAGTTAGTAAACAGTTGATTGACAGTTGAGAGGCGGGCCGAAAGAGCAAAGCTCAACCCCTGCAAACACAACTAGGTGAATACAACTAGGTGAATACATAGACACACACACACACACACACACACACACACACACACACACACACACACACACGCGCGCGCGCACACACACACACACACACACACGCGCGCGCGCACACACACACAGCGATTAGATGCTGAGACTCAGATAATCATCCAGGGAGAAGGTGGAAATAGTATACTGGAAGAGAATGCCACTATAAAAGCAACATTTGCAGAAATGCTAAAAAAAGTAACTCTGAAGTAATGTCCACAGTGATGGAGGTGGCCATGAAAGCAGCCACCTCACAGGAAGTGGCACGCTCCACTAGCCAGCTGCTGGAAAGAAAACGATCAGTGGTTGCTGTGGGTATTAAAGGGCAGGAAGGCTCCAACCGGACAGAGTGGAATGATAAGGACAACGCAGCAGTGAATGAAATATTGAAGACACTAGGGATGGAAAGGGCTGAGCATAGAATTGAGAAGGTTTTCAGGCTAGGCTGGTACAACAAAGACCGAGATTGTGTGTTAAAGATAGTGTTTGCAAACGAGAACACAAAGGAGTTGATTCTAGCCTGCAACATGTGGAAGAAATAAAAAAAGTATTCCTCCAGAGGGACATGACGAGGGAGGAGAGAGCCATGGCAACAGAAGCAAGGAAGCGGCGCAGGGCGAGAGGGGAAAACCAGGAACTCACAGCTCCCAACACATCATCCCCAGAATTGAGGGAGGAACGCACAACCAGCTACCCAGTAACACCAGAGGGGAGCGCAACCACACCACCCTCCTCTGCATAGAAACCCCCCTAACCCCAAACCCTCCCTGACCCACACTCAAATGCTCTGCCAAATCTCCCTCTCCATACACCCCATTCCCACCTTGCTACCCCTCCCCCTCCTCCCCCCCTTTTCTTTCCGGTCCTCCCTCCCCCTTCATCCCATACCCTTCCTGTCCCCTCCCCTTCACTTGACCCCCCCGCCCCTCACCCCAGTATCCTCTGAGACCAAGTCCAAGTCCAAGTACAGAGCCCTGTGGGACTCCACTGGTGACTTCATGCCAATCCGAGGTCTCACCCCTCACCGTAACTCTCTGCTTCCTATTGCTTTGGCACTTCCCTATCCACTGGAGCACCTTACCAGCTACACCTGCCTGTCTCTCCAGCTTATGTACCAGCCTCTTATGCGGTACTGTGTCAAAGGCTTTCCGACAATCCAAGAAAATGCAGTCCGCCCATCCTTCTCTTTTTTGCTTAATCTTTGTCACCTGGTTGTAGAATTCTATTAAACCAGTCAAGCAAGATTTACCCTCCCTGAACCCATGTTGTCGATTTGTCACGAAGTCCCTTCTCTCCAGATGTGTTACTAGGTTTTTTCTCACAATCTTCTCCATCACCTTGCATGATATACAAGTCAAGGACACTGACCTGTAGTTCAGTGCCTCTTGCCTGTCGCCCTTTTGTATATTGGGACCACATTCTCCGTCTTCCATATTTCTGGTAGGTCTCCCGTCTCCAGTGACCTACTATACACTATGGGGAGTGGCAAGCAAAGTGCCTCTGCACACTCTTTCAGTACCCATGGTGAGATCCCGTCTGGATCAACAGCCTTTCTAACATCCAGATCCAGCAGGTGTCTCTTGACCTCCTCACTCGCAATTTCGAACCCTTCCAAGGCTGCCTGGTTACTTCCCTTTCTCCTAGCACAGTGACCTCACCTTGTTCTATTGTGAAGACCTCCTGGAACCTCTTGTTGAGTTCTTCACACACCCCTTTTTCATTCTCTGTATACCTGTCCTCGCCTGTTCTAAATTTCATCACCTGTTCTTTCACTGTTGTTTTCCTGCTGATGTGACTATGGAGTAGATTTGGTTCGGTCTTGGCTTTGTTTGCTATATCATTTTCATAATTTTTCTCTGCTTCTCTTCTCACCCTAATATACGCATTCCTGGTTCTCTGGTATCTCTCTCTACTTTCTGGTGTTCTGTTATTCCGGAAGTTCCTCAACGCTCTTTTGTTCAGTCCCTTTGCTTCCATACATGCCCTATTATACCTTTGTTTTTTCTTTTGCCTCTCGGATTTTTCCCTTTGGGATGGGGTGAACCTGTTTACTGCCTCCTGACACTTTTGGGTGACATAATCCATCATGTCTTGTACGGACTTAGTTGTGAATTCTGTGTCCCATGGTATATCCATTATGAACTTTCTCATCTCCTCATAATTTCCCTTCCGGTACGCCAGCCCTTTGTTTCCCAGTTCTTTTTTTGGGGAGATAATTCCTTGCTCTACAAGGTACTCAAAGATCAATACACTGTGATTACTCAATCCCAAGGGGACTTCCAACTTAACTTCCCTTATATGCAACTCATTTAGGGTAAATATCAGATCAAGCATATCTGGTTCATCCTTTCCTCTCATTCTTGTTGGTCCCTTGATGTGTTGGCTTAGAAAGTTTCTTGTTGCTACGTCCAACAGCTTAGGTCTCCATGTGTCCGGTCCTCCATGTGGATCTCTGTTCTCGCAATCTATCTTCCCGTGGTTGAAGTCTCTCATGATTAGTAGTCTGGATCCGTTCCTGCTAGCTACAGAAGCTGCTCTCTCTATTATATTTATGGTGGCCATCTTGATTCTATCATATTCCTGTCTGGGTCTTCTGTCATTTGGTGGGGGGTTATATTTGACTACTATTATAATTTTTTGTCCTCCAATTACTATGGTACCTGTTATGTAGTCACTGAAATCTTCACAGCCCTGAACAACCATCTCTTCAAAACTCCAGCCTTGTTTTATCAGCAAAGCTACACCACCTCTTCCTTCTCTCTCTTTCCTAATTACATAATAGTCCTGTGGAAACACTGCATTTTTATAGTTTTCATTAGCTTTGTTTCTGTGAGTGCTATTATGTCTGGATTTTCTTCTAGTACCCATTCTCCAATTTCACTTGTTTTATTCGTAATCCCATCTATGTTAGTGTACACTGCCTTGAAGCTCACTTTCTTCTGTTCATTCTCTTGTTCCCTTCTTGGGGAACGTTCTGCTAATGGAGGAAGCTGTTCAATAGGTGTGAAAATCTGTGAGATGGTTAACAGGGTCACAGTGGATTCTAGGGTGGGGGTGGGTGGGTGGGGGTTCAAGGGAAGGGAGGACAGGTAGGGTATGGAGTAAGGAGGTAGGGATGACATGGAGGATACAGGGTGAGGGGGAGGAGGGAAAGGGAGGGTATGGGATGAAGGGGGAAGGGGGCCAGGGGAGAAAGGGGGGAGGGGGGACATAGTGGGAATGGGTGAGGGGTGACAGGGTCGGAATTGGGTGGGGGGGGGAGGGAGGGTGTAATGAGCATTTGGGTGGAGGCAGGTTAGGTGAGGGGTAGGGAGGGTTTCCATGCAAAGGAGAGTTACGGTGTTGCCCTGCCCTCTGGTGTTGCTGGAGTGCTCATTGTGGGTTCCCCTCTTGTCTCTGGGACCATTGTGTTGGGGGCTGTGATTTTCTGGTTTGCTCTTCTCTCCCTGTGCTTTCTCCTTGCCTCTGTCGCCCTGGCTCTCTCTTCCTTCGATTTGTCACTTTGGAGGAATACATTTTTGTATTCCTCTACATACTGCAGGTGACTCTTCCTTTCTAGAATAACCTCCTTCGTGATCTCGTTTGCAAACACTATCTTCACCAGGCAATCTCTGTCCTTGTTGTACCAGCCCAACCTGTAAACCTTCTCAATGTTTTGTTCAGCCCCTTCCATCCTTAACCCCTTTAGTATGCCATTTACTGCCTCTCTGTCCGTGCTATTCCATTCTTCCCTATTGGATCATTCATGTTCTCTGATGCCTACAGCTATCATTGATATTTTTCTTTCCAGCAGCTGACTGGTGCACCGTGCTGCTTCCTGTGAGGTAGCTACTTGCAAGGCTACCTCCCTCACTGTGGCCATTGCTTCTGTGCTCTTTCTCAATATTTCCGCAAATGTTTCAGGTTCAGATGCATTTCCTTCCAATACGACAATGCCATCTTCCCTTTGGGTGATTATCTGTTGTTCAGTCTCATTATTTGTCTCTGCGAGGGATTTGATCTCCTCCTTTGCTGCTGTCAGCTCACATTGCAGGTTGCTAATTGTATTCTTCATTTCATGCATCTCCTTCCTGAATTCCTCCCAAACCAGGGCTAACATTTCCTTCATTTGGTCACTTTGACTATTCCCTGTGTCCCTGGTGCATCCTTCTGCCATCTTAGTCCCTTTCCTTGATATGTTTTGATAGGGTTGGCGAGTGGGGGGCAGAGAGGAAGGAAGAGAGAGAGAGAGAGAGAGAGAGAGAGAGAGAGAGAGAGAGAGAGAGAGAGAGAGAGAGAGAGAGAGAGAGAGAGAGAGAGAGAGAGAGAGAGACAGACAGACAGACAGACAGACAGACAGACAGACAGACAGACAGACAGAGGCAGACATACCACTGTCTCCTCCCACACACAGTAGTCCCTGATTTCCAGCCTAAAAGCCAGGGTGTTCGCATGTGACGGTTAAATAGTGCTCTCTTAATCTGAGGACATTTAGAGGCTCTGGTCCCTCGACGCCCTGTGGACGTCTGGGGACAGGATCCTGAGAGTAAGGTTACAGATGTTTTGATAGGGTTGGCGAGTGGGGGGGCAAAGAGGAAGGGAGAGAGAGAAAGAAAGAAAGAGAGAGAGAGACAGAGAGAGAGCTAGAGAGAGAGAGAGAGAGAGAGAGAGAGAAAGGGTGTGTATGTGTGTGTTTGTGTGTGTGTGTGTGTGTGTGTATGTGTGTGTGTGTGTGTGTGTGTGTACTCACCTAGTTGTACTCACCTAGTTGTGTTTGCGGGGGTTGAGCTCTGGCTCTTTGGTCCCGCCTCTCAACCGTCAATCAACAGGTGTACAGATTCATGAGCCTATCGGGCTCTGTCATATCTACACTTGAAACTGTGTATGGAGTCAGCCTCCACCACATCACTTCCTAATGCATTCCATTTGTCAACCACTCTGACACTAAAAAAGTTCTTTCTAATATCTCTGTGGCTCATTTGGGCACTCAGTTTCCACCTGTGTCCCCTTGTGCGTGTTCCCCTTGTGTTAAATAGACTGTCTTTATCTACCCTATCAATCCCCTTCAGAATCTTGAATGTGGTGATCATGTCCCCCCTAACTCTTCTGTCTTCCAGCGAAGTGAGGTTTAATTCCCGTAGTCTCTCCTCGTAGCTCATACCTCTCAGCTCGGGTACTAGTCTGGTGGCAAACCTTTGAACCTTTTCCAGTTTAGTCTTATCCTTGACTAGATATGGACTCCATGCTGGGGCTGCATACTCCAGGATTGGCCTGACATATGTGGTATACAAAGTTCTGAATGATTCTTTACACAAGTTTCTGAATGCCGTTCGTATGTTGGCCAGCCTGGCATATGCCGCTGATGTTATCCGCTTGATATGTGCTGCAGGAGACAGGTCTGGCGTGATATCAACCCCCAAGTCTTTTTCCTTCTCTGACTCCTGAAGAATTTCCTCTCCCAGATGATACCTTGTATCTGGCCTCCTGCTCCCTACACCTATCTTCATTACATTACATTTGGTTGGGTTAAACTCTAACAACCATTTGTTCGACCATTCCTTCAGCTTGTCTAGGTCTTCTTGAAGCCTCAAACAGTCCTCTTCTGTTTTAATCCTTCTCATAATTTTAGCATCGTCCGCAAACATTGAGAGAAATGAATCGATACCCTCCGGGAGATCATTTACATATATCAGAAACAAGATAGGACCGAGTACAGAGCCCTGTGGGACTCCACTGGTGACTTCACGCCAATCGGAGGTCTCACCCCTCACCGTAACTCTCTGCTTCCTATTGCTTAGATACTCCCTTATCCACTGGAGCACCTTACCAGCTACACCTGCCTGTCTCTCCAGCTTATGTACCAGCCTCTTATGCGGTACTGTGTCAAAGGCTTTCCGACAATCCAAGAAAATGCAGTCCGCCCAGCCCTCTCTTTCTTGCTTAATCTGTGTCACCTGATCGTAGAATTCTATCAAGCCTGTAAGGCAAGATTTACCCTCCCTGAATCCATGTTGGCGATTTGTCACGAAGTCCCTTCTCTCCAGATGTGTTACCAGGTTTTTTCTCACGATCTTCTCCATCACCTTGCATGGTATACAAGTCAAGGACATTGGCCTGTAGTTCAGTGCCTCTTGTCTGTCGCCCTTTTTGTATATTGGGACCACATTCGCCGTCTTCCATATTTCTGGTAGGTCTCCCGTCTCTAGTGACTTACTACACACTACACACACACACACACTTGTGTTGTGTGTGTGTGTGTGTGTGTGTGTGTGTGTGTGTGTGTGTGTGTGTGTGTGTGTGTGTGTGTGTGTGTGTGTGTGTGTGTGTGTGTGAGAAAACATTAGTAGTAGTTAGTAACAGTTGATTGATTGACAATTGAGAGGCAGGCCGAAAGAGCCTGAGCTCAACCCCCGCAAGCACAACAAGGTGAATGCAACTAGGTGAATACACACACACACACACACACACACACACACACACACACACACACACACACACACACACACACACACACACACACACACACACACACAGGAATGCCAGGAATGAATATGTCAGGATGAGAAGAGAGGCAGAAAGACAATACAAAAACGACATCGCAAGCAAGGCAAAGACTCAGCCTAAATTGCTGCATAGCCACATCAGGAGAAAAACAACAGTAAAGGAACAGGTTATGAAATTAAGGATAGGGGCAGAAGGATTCACTACAAACGACAAGGAAGTGTGTGAGGAACTGAATAAGAAATTCCAAGAGGTCTTCACCTTAGAGCAAGGAGAAATCCCAGAGATAAGAGAGGGAATAGCTAACCAGGAACCACTGGAAGAGTTTGAGATTACCAGCGGGGAAGTAAGGAAGTGTTTACTAGAGTTGGATGTGACAAAGCTATAGGCCCAGATGGAATCTCCCCTTGGATACTAAAGGAAGGAGCAGAAGAACTGTGCCTCCCACTCTCCATAGTGTATAACAAATCTCTGGCAACAGGGGGAACTGCCAGAAATTTGGAAAGCAGCTAACGTAGTCCCAATATACAAGAAAGGGAATAGACAGGAGGCACTGAATTACAGGCCAGTGTCCCTAACCTACATACCATACATGCTGATGGAGAAGATTGCGCGAAGAAAGCTAGTGGAGCACCTGGAGCGAAAGAACTTTGTAACACAGCACCAACATGGATTCAGGGATGGCAGGTCCTGCCTCACAGGGTTACTTGAATTCTACGACCAGGCAACAAAAATAAGGCAAGAAAGAGAAGGGTGGGCAGACTGCACATTTTTGGATTGTCAGAAAGCCTTTGATACAGTGCCACACAAGAGGCTAGTGAAAAAGCTGGAGATGCAGGCTGGAGTGAAAGGGAAGGTACTCTGTTGGATACAGGAGTACCTAAGCAACAGGAGACAACGAGTCTGTGTGAGGGGAGAGGTCTCAGATTGGCGAGGCGTTACGAGTGGAGTCCCGCAGGGGTCAGTCCTTGGACCTCTACTGTTTCTGATATATGTGAATGATCTCCCAGAGGGTATAGAATCGTTTCTCTCAATGTTTGCCGATGATGCAAAAATTATGAGGAGGATTGAAACTGAGGACGATAGTGGGAGGCTACAAGATGACCTAGACAGACTGAGTGAATGGTCCAACAAATGGCTGTTGAAGTTCAACCCGAGTAAATGCAAAGTAATGAAACTAGGCAGTGGAAACAGGAGGCCAGCCACAGGATACAGAATAGGAGATGAAGTACTTAATGAAACGGACAGAGAGAAAGATCTAGGAGTTGATATTACACCAAACCTGTCTCCTGAAGCCCACATAAAGAGAATAACGTCTGCGGCATATGCGAGGCTGGCTAACATCAGAACAGCGTTCAGGAACCTGTGTAAGGAATCAATCAGAATCTTGTACACCACATATGTAACACCAATCCTGGAGTATGCGGCCCCAGCATGAAGCCCGTATCTTGTCAAGCACAAGACGAAGCTGGAAAAAGTCCAAAGGTATGCCACTAAACTAGTCCCAGAACTAAGAGGCATGAGTTACGAGGAAAGACTGCGGGAAATGCACCTTACGACACTGGAAGACAGAAGAGTAAGGGGAGACATGATCACAACCTACAAAATCCTCAGAGGAATCGACCGGGTAAACAAGGATAAACTATTCAACACTGGTGGAACGCGAACAAGGGGACATAGGTGGAAACTGAGTACGCACATGAACCACAGAAACGTTAGAAGGAACTTTTTCAGTGTCAGAGTAGTTAACGGATGGAATGCATTAGGCAGTGATCTGGTGGAGGCTGACTCCATACACAGTTTCAAGTGTAGATATGATAGAGCCCAGTAGGCTCAGGAATCTGTACACCAGTTGATAGACAGTTGAGAGGCGGGACCAAAGAGCCAAAGCTCAACCCCCGCAAGCACAAATAGGTGAGTACAAATAGATGAGTACACACACACACACACACACACACACACACACACACACACACACACACACACACACACACACACACACACACACACACACACACACACACACACACACACACACACGCACACACACGCACACACACACACACACACACACGCACACGCACACCAAACAATAATACTTCAAATGTCTCTCAATGTCAAGAAATCTCTAATGTCAAGTCAATCAAAGTAGTCAAGTGTGACGAGCGCCAGTGTACGTCACCAGAGTTGTGTGGAAAGTTTAATAATGTCAGGCAGTGACTGGGACTACGCTCGCACAACTACAGTAATGGGGACCACAATGGGACCACACTCGCACAACTACAGTAATGGGGACCACAATGGGACAACGCTCGCACAACTACATTAATGGGGACCACAATGGGACCACGCTCGCACAACTACAGTAATGGGGACCACAATGGGACCACGCTCGCACAACTACAGTAATGGGGACCACAAAGGGACCACGCTCGCACAACTACAGTAATGGGGACCACAATGGAACCACGCTCGCACAACTACAGTAATGGGGACCACAAAGGGACCACGCTCGCACAACTACAGTAATGGGGACCACAAAGGGAAATTAAGTACATAAATAATGAAGACAGTTAATGGGTAGTTAAATGACCAAACCCCATCCTTCTGTTGTGATAATTTTTTTTT